TTTATCAAATCCCAAATTCAGCCATTGCCACTTCGAATAGCTGCACCCGATTGTAGGTGCCGCTAATAGTAAAAAAAAGTCAACTGCTGGAAAAGTTATGCTACTTCACCCTTACAAAGACTACAAGAAAAACAAATTAAAATTGTTTCATGATCTTCGCATGGATGTGTCATCAATGATACTATTTTATAAAATTGATAAAAAATAATAGAGAATCCAGAAAGTGAGGATAACCTTTGAAAGCATATCAGTTTCGACGATGACCGATGAAGAAAGAGCGCCACAACAATCCGGATCATCGGTAGTGGAATTAAATGATCCCGAAAACGAAGTGCCATCCGTGTCTTCAACCATACAATGCAACTTTGGATAAGCCTAAACAAAGCAGTGATGTTCTGAACTAGCTGTTCACGCGCAAATAAAAAATATTTCAACGAGAAATCGCTCCTGGATTGAAGCACAGAAAAAAGTATACTAATCCTTACCGAGGCGAAGCAAAAAAAAAGCTCAGGTTTTCAAACGATTCCTAACTATAAGAGGCATAACATGGAAATTTGAGGGTACCATAGAGAAAACTTTTCTAACAAATGCTGTTCTCCTCAGTTAATGCATGAGTGCTGCGTTTTTTTTTTATACCAAAAAGTAGTAATTTTGAATTTTTCAGAAAAACGCATAAAAATAACGTGTAAACTTACAATGAAAAAGGATCGTACACACAGCAGTACAGCCAATGTTTCAACAGTTGGAAAGAAAAATGCTAGAGCCAAAAGCCGCTTGACAAATGCTGCTACCCGAGCTACCGGAACTTGCTTGCGACGAGAATTAATCATCAAATCCAACGTATGCAGTGCCAGTGATAAACTCCTTGCACGTTTATCTGAAATTCTACTACACTTTACATCTCATCCTAACGCTGAATTTTCAGTTAACGAAAACAACTTTTATCCAAATAAACACAAATGCGAAAAGAGAGATCTGACTCCCAGTACTGTTATTGTCAGTTTTGGCTACAAAGATAAAACTTTTATATGCTGCTGCTAAATTTTAGCAAAAATTCATCGATTTCTTTTTCCAAAAAAGTATAAAAAGTGCGAACGCTGCAACAGGCACCGGACCTGGTAGTTTTTCAAATACTATAGCCGGAAGCAAACGATACATTGACCAGTAGAATCGAAATGGATCGATGTTCAGCGCAACACCCTCTCCGGAAAGTATCACAAATACCGTAAAAATGCATCGCAGCGAGTCGATTAATTGCAAATGCTGCAAATATCCGAATTAGGCAATTTTAAGTTGGAAAAATTTGTGGAAACTCTTTCATTTAACTTAATTTATCATTCACTGCAGTGAATATGGACAAAAGTTATCGCGGCGTTATAGATCAATCTTTTTTTTCCAATCCGAACAATCAGCTGATAATACTCGTTATCAAGATGCGGTTAAGAATTGCAGAGCAAATGAACGACACTTCTTGGATCTATCAGATCCGGGTCAAATTTTTACACGAATTTGTAAGCGAACTTTTATATGCTCGCAGAAACTGGAGGAAGAGGGAGGTGGGGAAAGGAATTTCAGAGTTTACAGCTTTGATAAAATCTATTCCTAAGAACTTCAAAACAAAATATCTATTCTCTCTCCCGCGGCTGTATTCCAATTAACTTGTAAAAAAACGACAGCGTGGTAGCATAAACTCAGTCTAAAATAATTCAACTGAGTATCGGCTCAGCAGGAACGAGAGATGAAACAAGCCTGTTTGTTAACGAGAGCTGCCAGTGCAGAAACCATATCGTCAAAGAATTCAATACTGATCAAATGGGCGAATTTTGCCAGGCCTTCCAGCACTGGCTCCAATAAGCTGCTTGTTGAAAGTCGTTTAATTACGCGGAAATATGTGGCAAAAACGTGATTCATTGTTTCTGTTGCCTAAAGAAAAGAAAAGTATCAGCGATCTGATGCAGTAGCTGAAGGTTTAATCCTCTCACGATTCGTTTCGACGGTAAGTGCTAGTCCTGTAGACATATTTCGTTATTTATATAGCCTACCACTGTGGTAGCTGCTTCCGAATACCTCTTCTTTCACTTCCACAGAGAAAAAAATACGAAGCAAATTTGGATTTTTGAATCTCACACACAAAAAAAAAAAATCATCCTCTTCCAAATCTACTAAGCCAAACCTGTTCAAACGCCAAAACTGCAGAAGTAGAAACTTACGAATGATAGCTTGGAGGATAACGATTCGGCCGCCTCAGCTTCTTTTAAATCGCTTTCCAGTTTCTTCATCTGTTTGGCAAACTGTAACAAAGTAAAAAAAAAAGTTTGACTAGCAAATTTCCTACTATGTATCCTACCATGCAATCCAAAACTGAAGGGTACACGTAAACTTTTGCTACCTCTTTAGAAGCTGTTGATGTGATCTTTTACTTTCTCGAATACTACTTAGTGATGCGTGACTGTTATGAGAGCGAGCTACAAATCCGACCAATTCAATTCTATTTTCTAGCAACAGCATTTTGCAGACTATACGTTAGGCAGAGAATTTGACTGCTTAATCAATTATGAAGAAGTGCTCCAAGCATCCTTTGCTTCACTGTTTATTCTGCTACAGGCAGCAGCACTGGCAGTTCGCCTTCTGTCAGTGACCACGTTTCACATCCGTATGTCATTGTTTGTAGCGCAGTGTCATCGATTGGAGTGATGTCAAGCCTTCCAGTTCGACATGTTCAGAGCAAGGATGTAAGATTTTCAGTAGTTTAGACGAATTCAGACAAATGGGGGCAGCAACACCGTGCATATCATACTGGAAAGTTACTACGGGCTCATGCATACTAAGACATTATGCATCAACTCATCACTGACATCTTTAAGTACCGGAAGATTAATGATGACGGAGAAAATGTAATAAAATAATGCATTTTGCAAACCTTTTGTTTGCTCTTCATTTTCTTCTCCTTGTTCAGTTTCCTTTTTCGACTCATCAGCTTCTCCTTTTGCTCATTTTTATTCTCAGACTTGTTCACTTCCTAAAAACAAAAAAAAAATCTCTAAATTCAAGCGACAGCAATATGATCCCTGCCTCAAGCCGCTCTTGATGTAGACTACAGCAAACAGGGGTGTTCTATCTGTCAAACAAACAATATTCAATTTCTTGGCAATTTCCGAAAATTCCCCTTTAATCGCTTCAACTAAAAATGGTTTGAGTGCAATAAACAGCAATAGGCTTCAGTTATTATTCGTAATCGACTGCGCTGCAAGTTATTTCAGATCCAGCTTGTTTCTTCAGCTGTTGTTCGCCGAGATTCAATGTATAATTATATGAAATAAATCTAATGGCGCTCGAATAATTCATCAGAATAATTAATGTACATCATCGGCGGATTCAGGAGAGGGAGAAGGAGGG